TGAAAACATAATAAAATATATATAAAGAAAGAGGAAATGCCAGATATATTAGTCGAGGATCTATCAAGTGCCATAAAATTAATGAAAAGTGGAAAAGCTTCAGGAAATGACTGTGTTACAGTTTAAATCATGAAAGCTGGTGGCCACAGTTTACAGAAGATACTAAGAAAACTGTACTTAAGATGCCACAGAAAAGAAGAATATTGAATAAATGGATAAATGCTAAAGAGGTCCTTATACATAATATAGGGGCTCAAGATGATTTAAAGTACTATCAGACAAAAAAATCTTATTTCAGTCATCTATAACGTTTTCACCAAGATAATAGGAAAAAGAATAGTGAGAACATTAAATGATGTCATAGCCAAAGCAGCAGGCAGAGTTCAGAAATGGCTACAGTAGAATTGATCACATCTAGGTTGTTCAGCAAATCATTGAAAGGCAGAATGAGTACACCTTGCCTTTGTGCATGGCTTTCATTGACTACACACAGGCACTTGGCTCAGTAGTTCAACAATCAATAAAGAACCTGCAATGAGTTGTATTGTTGAGTACAACAGCATATTTAGTTTATTTTCCCCCCCAGGATTAATACTGAAAGCGCTAAGAGTACTGACATCTTTATATATTTCTTGGTATTTCTCTACCTTGAATGTGTTGCAATTTAGCCATTGCTAGGAGGCTGCAGAGCAAAGTATGGCCTGTAGTTACTGTCCCAGCAGTAAAGAGACCATACACAGTAAACACAAGTTCTTCAGGAGAGTAGATACCCTCAGATGAGTTCTGGTCCTGAAAAGAAAATAGAAAGGGAACCAGAAGAATATAAATTCTACTTGGAATTCAATTAAAGTAAATTAAAGTAATTAAACTACTTAATTAAATTAAAGTAATTCATGAAACTCTTCATAGTGTCTCTTTCAATTAAAGGAAACTTAATTCGACCAGACTGACTTTAGAATATATACAAAACCTTTTCAATTCTTAGGGAGGGAACAGCTTGTTTGTCTGGTCTACCATCAAATATTTACCACAAGAAATGGCCAGAATTAAAGGCTGGACACTCTGAATTTGACTAAGGTTGTTATTTAGAGCTGGACTACAGCAGGTCTTAAGGTGTATGAGTGGAAAAGAAGATTAGATCTGAGCATAGAAGCTTGAATGTTATATCTGAAAGACTAATCCTAATAAAAATTGGTCTTGCAAGACCAATAATTTCTTTACCTATTAAGAGTGTAGAAATTGTGTAAATTAGCATGTAAAGCAAATTTCTATACATACTCATTTTTTGAAGGGAGATAACTTTAGAAACAATTATATCATGAATATATGTCAACAAATGACAATTTAAAGTAAACAAAAAAGAACAGGGGATCAATATTTTCATATTCTTTCATATGTGGCAAACTTGTTTCATCTTAGATACACATTGGTTATATTTAGACATTTATGAAGGTACAGTATCTATACCTACCTTTTCCAGTCTAAGAAGGAAGCAATCAATATAGTCACGCAGGTTCTGAGGATCCAATGTTTTCTTGTGCAATTCTACCTCCTCACGGATATAACCACAGAGTTTTTCACTCTCAGCAAAAGACTTGATGTGTTTCCCAGGAAAGTATTCCATTATTTTTGGAAAAGTATTGTAGACCTGTTGCAGAGTTGATGTTAAATAATATACTTTTTTATACCATAACGGTGGAAGCTTAATGTCCCAAATATTCAGAGAGTAGTTTTTACTCTGGTATTGTTAATTGTCAAACCTCAGCTAGGTGCCAGGGTCAAGAATTTTAGTTTCGAGTAAATACAGAGTCTTGGAAACTACTATATAGTAGGATTTTTTTTATTTATAATAAGTTAATTAAATATGACTCTCTTTCAAAACCATTTCCCCTAGATATCTCCTCACCTAGGCTATGTTCCTGGTAGGAGATATTTGGTCAAGGGACTCACCTGCTACTTTTCTAACCTCCCCTCCCATCTCTTCCATTAAAGGATAATGGCAAAAATGGTGATAGTTCTTGAAGCAATAGAAGAAAAAAGTTGGCTGTGGAAAGAAAGACTGGGGAAATTTCTAAAAACACCATTGTAAGAAAAGAATCCCCTGTGCCTGATTTGATATGATGATTACTACAATGTGTAGCAATGTACTCTTAAAAATATTATAATATTAAATTTTAATTTGATCGTAATATTGATATTCTCCTTATATCACAAACCTAAAGGATTGGGGATAATGGATACTATTGTCATTTGTTAAAATTACAACATGGAATTATGTTTGAGAACTAAAGGTAACTGTAGAGTCCAGGGGTGAAAAATTACAATGAAAGATTACTATTAGGAGAAATCAGCCCCTCCAATTAAATTTCTCATTTGGACCTCCCTGATTAGTTAAGAAATGAGTGAGTCCTAGGAACAATCAAGTGAGGGCCAAATTTGTTGTGAGAAAAGGAAATAGACCCCTGGGAAATAAGACCAGCCAAGAGACGTTTGCTCAGAACCAGTTTGTGTTTTCCTGGATGTCTAAATTTTGTTTCTCCTGCTTAGTAGCTCATTACATCTAATCACAACATCTCTAATTTTGACATTTACACACAGAGAAAAAAACCCACTAGTGAAACTGAATCTTTATGGCAGGGAGAGAATAAACATACCATTCCCAGGAAACTAGCAAGAAATCCTAATTGAGACTCCATAATCTGCTGGTTCTTTATGAAGGTGTGATTTTTGTAATCAAGTCGATTGCCAAAAACAACTGCATAGATCACATTAGAAACAGCGCTTGTAACATTTCTTCTTGGGTCAAAAGGTTTCCCTGCAACAAAGGCCACAGAAACCTATGAGCAGAATAAAAGACTGTGGATCCTCCCTTCCAGAATTCTCACCACAAAACTGCAAGGAAAAATGATTTGGGTCAAAGAAGTTATGGAAAGATTTTATTGATAATTTTTGATAAATAATATTAAGTAGAAGAGCTTATATGTAATCAAATGGAAACCTCCTTCCTCTGCTCTTTTCTGTTCATGGTAAGTCTTTTCTCCTTGACCCTTCCCTTCTTCACCTCTAAGATAAGGTGACCAGATTTTCAGATTGGAAAAGAGGGACGCCCTTGACCG